AGTGGGATACATCAGGACCTCCTTTTCCAGCATGAATTGGCTTCCAAAGCTTTCCTTGAACTGCAGTATTGATAATATGGCTAAGTTTCTCCATTGCAATAACAAACACATAAGGAGAGAGAGGGTCACCTTGCCGGAAACCTCTTGAGGGCTGAAATTCCTCAGACATCCCTCCATTCCAGAGGATATTGAATTTAGCAGTAGAAATTGCAGCCATAATAATGCCAATTAAATTCTCCGGAATTTGCACTTCATGTAGAGTTTTGTTAATAAATTCCCAACTTAACCTGTCATAAGCTTTTTCTGAGTCCACCTTAATGGCCATGAAGGTCTTCCTACCTTTCATCCAGTGCATTGAATGAATCAGCTCCTGCACTATGATTATATTATCCTGAATATGTCTTCCTGGAACAAAACTATCCTGAAAAGGGGATATGATCTTATCCATAATACCAAACACCATGTGAACCACAACCTTACTCAAAACTTTATAAATAACTGGACACAAGGAAATGGGTCGGAGTTGAGTCATCTGAGATGGATTTTTCTCTTTAGGAATAAGAACAAGTAAAGTGGAATTAATGGTTGCCACTAGATCCGGATTTGCCCATAAGCTAAGAATATGCTGATACAACTGGTTCTGAGTTTTTTCCCAATTCACTTGGAAAAAGGCAGCTGGAAAACCATCTACTCCTGGTGCTTTATAGGACCCCATACTAAACAAAGCTCTTTTAACTTCCTCCTTTGATGGAGTTTTACTAAGCATGGTCTTTTCCTCCAGAGATAAAGAAGGCCAAAGATTTGGAGAAGAAAGCCAGCTTCTATTTTGAATCTCCTCAGAATACAGATCATGATAAAAATTGCAGGCATGATTTTTAAGCTCATCTAGATCAGTAATCCAATGATTCGGCCCATCCTTATGTCTCACAATTCTATTGGCATTCCTCCTAATGATTGTATTTAGGTGATAGAATTTAGTGTTTCTATTACCATCAACAATCCAATGCTGCCTAGACTTTTGAAACCACAACAACTCTTCTTCTTCCAGGACCTTCTTCAGATTCTCATGACAATTATCTTCCATAGTCTTCAATCTGGTACTGTCATTTCTAATACTTTGCTGCTGAATGTTGTCCAGGTCTTTCAGAAGCTTCTCTTTTTTTTCTATTAATATCACCAAACACCCTCTTATTCCACTTTTGGAGTGTAGGCACTAGCCTTTGAAGCATATATGGGATATCAAAATCCTGATCCCAGTTATCATTAATTAGACCAGGAAAAGTATGATGCTGATGCCAAGCTGCTAAATACCTAAAGGGCTTTTTCCCTCTAGTATCTTTCCTAGCATCCAGATTCAGCAGCAATGAGTTATGATCAGATTTCACCTGAGGAAGATGAGTAACTTTAGCATCATCAAACTTGAGCCTCCAATGCATATTTGTTACAATCCTATCCAATCTTTTATACACTCTGTCAAGGTGAGCCCATTTTGGCCCTTGCCAAGTGAATTTAGACCCTGTGAATCCCAAATCCTCTAATTGACAACCCTGTGAATCCCATTTTGTTTCTTTCTTATAACATAACCGAAGCAAACAATAAACACTTTTAATATAAAATATTTAGAGGATTACTTCTCATGTAGTATGAGAGAAATTCTCTCATGTTAAGAGATAAATAAAGTCTCCATCAATTTTTAGAAAAAAAAAGGCACATTTTTCGAACTGAGAGTAACATGAGAGATTAATCTTATCCAACATAAATTATGATTTTTCAAATATCTATAATACTCAAAATTTACTTTCCTAGTACCTAAGAACCACCTGTGCGTTAATTTTTGTGAAAAATGCATATTGCATACATGTTGGATGCCGATATATTTTGACACACATTTGATATGAAGTCAACGTTTATATAGATCTAAAATTTATTTTATTAACTAAACATAAAAAATTAATTTATAAATAAAAAAATTTCTATTATAAAATTTGACATAAAAAATTATTTTTGCTTTATATTTATGTTATGAAATTTGAATATCTGATTACTTTAATGGCTTATTATAGACTACTATATGTAATAAATATAAATTATATTATATATATTAAAATATTATTTAATATCAAAATATATTTTAATATATTAAAATCTAATATTTTTTAAAATTTATGTGCTAGCTAGACTATGTCTTATGTATGTTGGTGTTGGTGGAACATGGGCTAGTACTTCATATGTGTAAGAGAATAAGGACATGTTTAGTGCATAGCTATGAAGCACCGGCACTTCAAAATCTCTGACGTGTCGTGTTCGACACTTCTCGACACTTACCGATACTTCGACACTTCCTGACACTCCAATACTCGTTGCAAAGACTCAAATAAAGTTCAAAGGTTACGTTACGTTGCATTTTGAGTTCCAACTATTAGATTCATTAGTTTACGATTGCTATTTTATTGAGTTTAATATAAACATTTGGGATATCTTATGTTTCTTTACAAAATTGATGGGTATTAGAAGTTTAGCTTTATTTTTTTTGTTAAATTATTGAATATTAAATATAATATACACTACATAAATTAAAAATATTATATAATATCAAAATGTGTCATAGCGTGTCGAAATTTAACATTTTTTTGAAATAACGTGTCGAAGTGTCGTGTCGTGTCGAATCTCGTATCCCGTGTCGGTGTCGGTGCAACATAGGTGCATAGTATAGGACTAGGTCTGATAGTATAATATCTGATAGTATAAGACCTGATTAAATTTTAATATTATACAGCGTTTGGTATGATATTGTATAAGATAATATCCTATATTAAAAAATTATTTTAATATAATAAAAAAAATTATTTTAATATATTAATATTGAAATGATATATTAGTTCTTGAGAATTGTACTTATAAGTAATATCAATACATCAACCCCTTATCAGGCCTAACCTCACCCCCCTTAGGCCTCATTAAGTTATACATCATTTTGATGTATTCAAAAGTTCTGCTGTATAAACTTATACTACACGATGGTCACACCAAACAACTGAAAATATCATAACGTATAATATAAGTTTATACTATCAAGCCTCATACATCACACCAAACAGGCCCTAAGGGCATGTTTGGTATATAATATAGGATAAGACCTGATAGTATAAGGCCTATAAGACCTGATTAAATTTTAATACTATCCAGCGTTTGGTATGATATTGTATAAGATAATATCCTAAAATATTTTAAAAATTAATATATTAAAAAAAATTATTTTAATATATTAATATTGAAATGATATATTAGTGTTTGAGAATTGTACTTGTAAGCAATATTAATACATCAACCTTTATCAGACATAATTCCACTCCGTTAAACCTGATTAAGTTATACATTATTTTGATATATTAAAAGATTCTGTTATATAAGCTTATACTATACGATGATCACACCAAATAACTAAAAATGTCATAAGCTTATATTATCAAACGTTATAAATTACCCGAAACATGACCTGTGTGTATGTATACAGCTACATGGTTCCATTTTTCTGCACTTGTTTAGGTTGGAATCTGTTACATGCTGGGCCCGAGTGTTTACTTTATTTTTTTTAATATCAATATATATTGCACATTAATTCTATGGTTGACTAATACCGTAGCATTTCAAGTGAATTTTTGATACAACTGGAATAATAATATATTTTAACCAAAAGTAAGAAGAATATACAAAAAATAATTATAAAGATAAAGATAATATAAATATATTATGTTTTCATATTTAAAAAGGATATACTAAATAATTGTTAGTACCTAAAATATTTTAACATTTCAATTAGGTAGTGTTTGGTTGGGGATAAGTCAATATTTTCCTGGCAAAGTGAGAACGGGATTGTTCCTTCTCCACGTTTGGTTGAAGATTTTGGTCTCAGTTGCCCATCAATGATGTTTGTCTAGCAATCAATAATAACAAAAGAAATCCGGATTTGAACAGTATTTAGAAAGCCTCTTGTGAAGGTGGTATTGCCCATAGAAAGTGGGTAACTGAAAAATGGGACGAAGAGCATGACAAGTTTACCCTCCTTCTTCATCACTACTGCTACCATCGTCAGCAGCTCCATATATGGATTTTTTAAATTCTTCTTCCGCTTTAGCCTGTTCATCTGCCGAGGAACTAGCAAGCTTTTTGTTAAGGCTTTGCAGACCCATCAATGAATCACCTTTGGGATTACCTATCACATTCGACTGATTAGATATGGATTTAACTGAAGATGCTTCAAGACCATTTACTTTATTCTCATTACCTGCTGGCATGAAGGCCTTAAGTAAGCTATCTTCTGACACCTCTACAATATTGCCCCTTCCTTTAATTGAACCTAAATATATACCAATATGATCTGTAATAATGGACCGAAATGGAGACAAAGACAAAGACGTTGTGCTATTGCCGTTGGGTTACTTGAATGTAATTTCAGTACTTATTCAATAGGTTTTAAAACAATAGAGGGTTATTTCTTTTGGCGTTTTTTTTGTAATTTTATTAAATTTTTCCATCAATATTTTATCTTCAACCAAACACTTAACTCAATTTTCCTGGTAAAATTTTGTCCAACCAAATAACATTTTTTTAAACTTTCCTGTATAATTCACTTTCCCCGCAGATCCCCAGTATTTATATTTTCTTAGTAAAATAAAATTTCTCCTGAACCAAACACTACCTTAGTTCAATGTGTAGTGTGTACTGTGTACTGTGCAGGACGTACGAGAGCAGAGATTTTATGATGTGACTTTACAGTTTCACCAAAACAAACTTCTCCATTATCTTCGTCCTCTCTTTTTCAGATCCACGATCTTATATATGTATACAAACAGAACACATATATTATTCAAACACAAGTACACAACTGAAAGTTGAGCATGACTACCCTTCAATATCCACGTGCTCAACCTACTGTTTTGGAAGATAACCGAGAAGTTTCATTTAGAGGTGATGACATCAAGTCAACCGAAAGTATTCAGGGAGAGAAGGAGGGCATAACAGTGACATGGGATGATTTATGTGTCACTGTTTCAAATGGAAAGAAAAGGAAAACAATGCTTCAGGGTCTTACTGGTTATGCCTTGCCAGGAAGGCTTCTGGCTATAATGGGTCCTTCAGGCAGTGGAAAATCCACTTTTCTTGATGCTTTAGCAGGTGATTAGTAACGGACACTTTATATATTTAGATTGCGGTAGTGCAATTGGCATTTGCTTGAGTCTCATAGTATGTGACCAACATATTATTATGCTGCGTGATAACATTTTTTTTAATTTTTTTTTGAGAAAATTTAAAAAAAAACCTTATAACTTTTCTCATAATTATTTATTCCCCACCCCAAAATTTTGAATTATTTACCCCTCGACTTAAAGTTTTTTTATCATTTATCTCCTACTTAAAGTTTTTTTTTTATCATTTGCCCCCCTAAATGAAGAGGGTAAATGATAAAAAAAATTTAAATCAGGGTAGTAAGTAATAATTTTTTTTTTAATTAAGGATGTAAATGATTCAAAAAATTTGTGAGGAGATAAATGATAATTGAGAAAATTCATAAGATTTTTTTTTGAAGTTTTCCCTTGTTTTTTTTATTGCAATCATTGATTTTAAAAGGGAAGTTGAAGTATTTTAGACAAGCTTGTGAGGTTTTGGATACTTTTATAAATTATTGTTTTCAAATTACTACTTAAATAAGAAATTTTACAGATGTTTGGAGATATGAAATTACACTAGCAATTAGTAGATTAGAAATTGGGACGATAAGGAAAGTGGTAGAAGCATAAATTTTTTGTTTTTTTTTTCTTGCAGTATCTATTACTCTTCCTGATGCTAAGATAGTATAGTGTAATTAGGAATGGTAAATTTCTTTATGATGATATGATTAATTTCTATTTATATAAATATATAATATGACTATCACATGATTCAAACAATGTGGCAGGAAGATTGAGCTCAAACATAAAACGTACAGGGAATATTCTAATCAATGGCCACAAACAAGTACTGGCTTATGGAACATCAGTAAGTGAAAATTCCCAAAAGCTACAATTCCTTTTAAAAAGCAGCAATTTTTTGGTAGACAAAAGAAATTGTTTTAGATTTACTAACAATTGGCAACCACCATGTGACATCAGGGCTATGTAACACAAGATGCTGCTATGCTGTCAAATTTAACGGCTGGGGAAACTTTGTACTACTCAGCTCAGCTCCAATTTCCAGATTCCATGTCCATAGCAGAGAAGAAGGAACGTGCAGAAATGACACTGAGAGAAATGGGTCTGCAAGATGCCATTAACACCAAGGTTGGAGGGTGGGGTGATAAAGGCCTCAGTGGAGGACAGAAGAGAAGACTTAGCATTTGCATTGAGATCCTAACACGCCCGAGACTTCTATTCCTTGATGAACCAACAAGTGGACTTGATAGTGCAGCTTCATATTATGTTATGAGAAGAATTGCAAGTCTAAATCTAAGGGATGGCATTCTAAGGACTATTGTTACATCCATCCATCAGCCTAGTAGTGAAGTTTTTGAACTTTTCCATGACCTCTGTCTTCTTTCTTCTGGTGAAACTGTATATTTTGGTCCAGCCCCTGATGCAAATCAGGTTAGGAAATAAAATCCTTATAAAGAAGCACTTATTGATTTGAAGTTGACAAAACACACATTGACACTTTGATTTGGTGCAGTTTTTTTCTTCAAAAGGTTTTCCTTGCCCGACACACCACAATCCCTCTGATCATTACTTGACGATCATAAACAAAGATTTCGAACAGGTATGAAAACTCTCTCCTACTTTGGCTAGTTTTTTTTGGGGGCCAATTTTCTAACTATGAAAATGCAATCTTATTGTCTACAGGACGCTACAGAAGGCTTTGCAACTACGGAAGAAGCAATCGGTATCCTTGTAAATTCTTATGGATCGTCTCAAATTGGAAACAAAGTTAAAAAGGAAGTGGCAAAAATAAGTGAAAGTGTAAGTTTTCACGTTACGTTCCTTACTCCCACTAATACTCCAAAATCACAGAGGAATGTCCAAAACCCAAAGATTTATATATGATGTACATGAAAGACTAACTTTTTGCATGAAAATAGGATTCTGGCGCAATAGGGAAGAAGGGGATCCACGCTGCATTCCTCACTCAATGCCTTGTTCTTATAAGAAGATCTTCCCTTCAATTGTTTCGCGACATAAGCAATTACTGGTTACGTTTATCTGTCTTTATTGTAATAGCTATAAGCATTGGCTCTATCTTCTATCACATTGGCTCAAGTAATGAATCTATTCAGGTAAGATATATAAAGCATAAAGATTAGCTTCGATGAACAAAGTTGATGAATAATACAATATCCTCATGCATGCTTCAGGGGAGAGGTTCGCTGCTCACTTTTTTTATTTCAGTTCTGACTTTCATGAACCTTGTTGGTGGATTCTCTCCACTGTTGGAGGAAATGAAGGTAAAATTTCAATCGTTTTGTGTTATATTTTAGGATAACGTTTCACTGCATTGTAGTGGGCCAGAGTGTTAGTGAACCCAAAAAAAGGGAATGTCATGAGGAATCTAAACAGTGTACTTAAACGCTCCATCTTGACTAAACTGTAAATGCACTTAGTTTATGGTTATTTCACTTACATTTTCTTTATGTAGTTCATTTTTAATCAATATGAAACTTAATTACTTATTATTCATACTTGAATTTTTGTTTCTTCGTGTCAGGTATTTGAACGAGAGAGATTGAATGGGCACTATGGCATTACAGTTTTTCTCATAGGCAACATACTCTCTGTTGTTCCTTACATGCTAATGATTTCTCTAATTCCTGGAGGAATAGCTTACTACCTTTGTGGGTTGCACAAAGGACTAGAAAACTTTATGTACTTCACTTCTTTGCTATTCGCCATCATGATGTGGGTTGAGAGCCTTATGTTGGTTGTTGGTAGTGTCTCTCCCAATTATGTAATAGGCATGTTCATTGCTGGTGGAATTGCAGGACTCATGATCTTAACAGGTGGATTCTATCGACTGCCAAACGATATTCCAAAACCATTATGGAAATACCCTTTATACTATGTTTCTTTCCTCAAGTATGCCTTTCAAGGATCATTCAAGAATGAATTTGAAGGTTTAACATTTTCTATAGAACAGGATGGAGGAACCAAAACCATCAGCGGTAGACAAGTACTCATTGAGGCATGGCACGTGGAAATGGGTCACTCTAAGTGGGTTGATCTTGCCATCATGTTTGCAATGATTGTTCTGTATCGAGTTCTGTTCTTGGCCATCACTAAGAGCAAGGAGAAGCTGAAGCCATCAGTGGTCCCCAAGCATAAATTTTCTCTTGAATTACCAGAAAGAGTGATCATTATATAGTGTAGTAAACACCGAAATTTGCTCAGGACAAATTTCTCAGTAGTGCAAAATTTTTACCTCGCTATGTAAGAAATTACAAATGTTTTTCGCAGTACTATTTTTCTTTTAATATTGATATTTTTAATGTCTAAAGATTAGTATAATAAATATTTATATTTTTAAAAAATTGAAGTAAAATGAGACAAAGTTATTTCATTTAAAATAACAAATAATTTTCTCTTTAATTTAGTCCCTCATTTTATTTTTTATATTTAATAAATATATTTAAATTATTCTATCAAATAATATAAACACGACTCCATCACCCACACTTTGAATTTTCAACATTTTATCTTTTTATGTATGAGTCCCAATATAAATATGAAAATGTTATGGACCAATATAAGGTCTATATGTGTAAAAGTCCAACAAAAGGCAAATCATATGACAACTGCGCAAGAGAACAATTGGGCTTATGAATAGAAGACTCAGAACTCATATATCCACGTGTAAAATCTTATAAATAGAAGGTAAAGTTTATAAGTATGAGGATCTTTCTCTTTAACTATTAAGTTGTCACTGGGTACACACATCACCCCTTTGGCTAACGCCGTTATAGCTGTGTACAGTGATATGCTATCTCAGGGTATCTAATTCATAGATACCAAGAGAGAATACTCGATCATAAATTGACCTATTAGCGCTTGGCTAGACACTTTTGTTACTCCAACAGAATAAAAAAAATTACATTAGTTAATCATATAAATTAAAAAAAACTCATATATATACTTTAAGATTTTTATTCAAGAGGAAGTATAAAATTTACTACTACAATTTGTTAATTAACACGATTAATCAGATTTTCCTTATTTTGGACTGGGTGTTAAGTAAGATGTGTTAATTCTTCCCGTAGGAATTAGTTCACATTTGCAATTGCACTTTTTGGCACAAAAAGTAACTCACTTTAATGCATAAGTTAGTGAATTTACTAAATCATTTTTTGTTGTTGTTGTCTCTAATCAGGTATTTGAAAAGGAAAGATGTAATGCTCGGTCTGCAGTAGGTTAATTAACATCCGTATGATAGTAAGTATAATATACTCAACTTAATTAATGCGAAAGCTAACTGAATAAATTTTCTCTTTTTTCTTATGTATTGCAAACTTTTTCACTTCCATGGCCAAAATAAAACGGACAGTATTTCGTCTGTATTTTGGACCACTAATATATTTCACCGAGATAATCTCAATCTGATTGACAGTTTAATATAATCCAGGCATGCCACAATATAGATAAAACATATTGTCAAGTCATCCATGACCTAGGCTATCTCATAATCATACTGTCAAAATAATGTCCATGATGTTACTTATATAATTACATCAAATAAACAAAAGAGATGCAATTAAATTAGTAACATTAGACCTGAGCATGCATCATTAACAACATATACAAACTATCGACATGGCATAGACACTCCCTATGCTCTCCAAAAGAATAACACGATATATATACATATCCAAAATAGAACCCTGTCAAGTATATATTAAAATAACAAGCAATTCTTGACTATCAGGTCAAGTAATATCTCTCGTTTGGCTTCTTGCCACGCGATGTCTTAGCACTATCAGCTCATGTACCTGAAATGGTAATCCCCATAACGCGGGGTGAGGTAATATAATTACCTCAGTAACCTAGGGACCTTTAAAGGGCTCATCCGCCCCTAAGCTCACTTCTGATATAACCACATAAAAAATCTATGCATGCATCAGAATATGTATGACAATGTAGTGTGCAAATAATAAATCTTACTGGCCAGAGAATATAACAAGTATGCATTACACAAAGAAACACCGTCTTGCAACATACCATATGAGAAAACATTGTCTCATACTATGCATAAGGAAACACCATCTTATGCCTCACCCATGGAAACACCGTCTTGTGTGGCACTCAAACATAAATACATATACATGCAATATAACAAATCATTTTCAACATACCTTATCAAACTACCACCCTCCCTCGAAGTTGGCGAAACAAACGAGGGATTAACCCCAAGGACCCAAAGCTTACCTGTCAAGCACTGTTCTCCAATACACTCCTTGTATCCAAGGGCTCACAACCATAATCTCTCACAATATCACAGCTGTAACATCCCCGTCTCGAGCCGGTTCAATTAACATACACATGATATAAACAGAAACAACGGAAGACTTAACTTACGAAAATATGAGCTAACTTTTTCTTTTTCTAACTTAATTCTTACTCGGCGTAAACGAAAATCGGGCAGAGTTTCCTCTATAAATCGGACAACTGGGGATTTTCCAATCCCACTCAGAAGCATTTCCTGATAAACAGTTTATACAACATATCAATTCAGAAATACCAGATATCCAAATATAATCAAATACCCATACATGGGCGCATGCATAACATGGCTCCGTGCCACTAAATCTAACAGCATGCCATCAAAACATAAACCTATCTGAATACTACATCATCATATAACGTTCCTGAATACTCAAATGTACATGCATCAAACTGACAGACATGTACAAAACATATACAGGCCATATACAAAATAAAGGATCAATATCATGATCCATCAAATGCGAAAATACTAAAATACATCAAACACTCCAAAAAGGTAGTAGCCTACAGCCACTCAAAATCCGGTCTGTCAACTGCCTCAGCCACGTGTCGTGTCCCTGCCTAGTGAGGACTCACCGGAAATCTGGGCACCTGAAAATGTGTCCCCAAAGAGGGGTGAGATTACAAATCTCAATAAGCTCCAGGTTTATAGAGAATTCTCCATACCCCTGGCTCACTCCTGCATGAAAGCCAGATACAAAGTATACGAATACAACATATAACAGATATCATAACAGAACAGAGCATATATCCATATCATATCAGAGATGTGCGCCGTCATTCCCAAGGGAGGACCCCAAGCGGAAATCAACGCACGTGTTCCCGAGGGAGGACCCCAAAGCGGAACCAGACATATCAGAGGAGTACACCATCAGTCCCGAGGGAGGACCCCAAAGCGGACGTCCGGGTACTATACAATCAATGGCCAGAGATTGTTACAGAAATCAAATTACAGAAGTCATATCAGAGCAAAACATATCACGTTATCAAATAACTCTATATGAATGCATCTATACAAAGCATCTAAATCACAGTCATACAGTCCAACCATAGTTCACTAACCATGGTGGAGCACTCAAGCAGGAAAAGACTCCTTAAACATAGAGCTTACCTCTTGAAGCTTTACCAATACGCTTACTTGTGGAACAAGTTACTTTTATCACTTCAAGAGATTTCCGATCCTTCTCAATCCCTAGGCACACCTAGAGAATAATTTACAATGCATCAATAAAATGATGCAATACCATAATTATTTCATAAGCATACATTTTATCGCTTATTTTCCTTTCTTTGCATTTTTGCCAATCCTATGCCAATACACAAGTCTAGACCTCTTTATAACCGTTGGTGTTCTTTAATTTAATCAACCATTCCCTTAGGAATTTTCAACATAAATCATGCTACTTTTCTTCAAAACTCATCACTTTTATACAATTTATTACAACACATTTTATTTAAAATAAAATGTACAAAATATATCCCTAAATACCCTATAGGTCGAATCCTATAAGGGGAATTTCCAAAGATCCTTCTCTTTTACAATACATTTTCGTTACTTCATTACAACTTGCAAACACCTAGGAATGCTTCCACTAAATTCCTATTTTGAGTTTAGACACCAAGTCCTTTTTACTTAGGCATTCTTACTAACTCATCCATTTTCACTCATTTCCAACACACTATACCTTCACAATACATAATATAATTTTTCCACAATAACTCCTACTCACTCCATGATGGCCGAAACCTAGGAGGAAAATGCAATAGGGCTTTTAAATTTTTATATCACATGTGGATGCTTACTCAACACTATAACTTCCTAAACAACAATAATCTATCATAAATTTCACATTCTAACATCAATTATTCCCCACTCACAACATGCTCATATATTTCATAACTTAAATCATCAAAATTATATCATGGAAATAGAGGTTTCTTACCTCTAAACACTTGTACAAAGCCTAGAGAGCAATCTCCAAGCCAAGCTCCATCAAAAACTCACTTTTTCTCCTCCAATGAATAGTAACTCAAAAATGAGAGGAGGAATAACTCTTCACACACTCAACAAAACCTCAAATTGATGGTTGGAATGGGTTCATTGGGTGTTTTACAAGCAATTTCATGTGGTGGGTCTTTGAATTTGGAGTAGAAATGATGGAGAATCAAGGAGAAGAAATTCAAAACCCTACCCCCCTTCTCCAATGGTGCAGCTCGGTTTTGAGAGGGTGAGAGGAGAGAGAAACTGATTTGGGATAATGAGACTAAGTCACTTATAAGGCTAGCACATGTGGCCTTTTTTAACAGATGTTTTTCTATCGCGTATTTTAACTTAAATTGACCCGGAACTAACTTAAAACTACGAACATATTTTTATTTTTCTAAAATCATTTACATTAATTTTTATCTATTACAAAACAATATTCATAATTCACAGTATGGTTTCTGCACCGTTTTTGACGAAATGCACTCTGAATCACTAATTGTACTTTATTTACTTTTAAAACTTAACACTTATAAACTTATCATTTTCTTGGGCCTATATTGACTTGCTTGGCATATATTGGACTTTCTTATTCTTATTTCATCAATTATTTATTTCTGGACTCTACCGGTTGCTTAAACAGCAGTACAAAATACCCGGTAGAAACACTATTCACGAGATATTCACGGAAAGTGCAAGACTATACAATTTTTCGTTCTGAACTCATATTCGTCATCAGAATTTTCAAATTATGTTCCTAAAATTAATTTGCTCATTTTAAGCTCTACCGGTTAATTCACAAAACTGTAAATTCTCCGGCAGAACGCACTGTTCATAACATAGTCATGATTACAGTCAAAATACTCGAAATCGCTCACTGAATC